ACTTAGTGTTACGGACAGAATTTGGCCTTCACTGAAAACGTATTAAGGTTTGGCCTGCTCAGTGTGACCCATCTAAAAGCTTAGGGCTGGACTAGGTGGGAAATGAGAGCTGGGTCCCTGAGTCAAACCACAGTCAGAGGACTCCGATTCATGCAAACAGCATCACGTCCTTGGCGTGGCTCTGAGTCAGACTGACATCAGTGGAAATCTCTATACCTCCAGTCAGACACAGGCCTACTGCACTGGAGCACACAAGCTTTTTTTGTGGGAAAGCTGGAAATTTTGAGTACAAGAAGCTTGTGTAAGGTAAGTCACAACATTAATATTTTAACCACTGGATTTAGCTTCAGCGAGGGAGGAGCTAAAACAAACGGCAATTTGAGATTTCTAGAGGCACAGGATGAGTGTTTGGTGATGAGTAATAAAATAAAATAAAAAGTTGGAAAAACAAACAGGCGGCCATGTGGAAGATGAACCAGGAAGTGTGAACCAGGAGTCGGCCTTGCTCTCAGTGTTGTTCCAAGTGTTAAGACCAAAAGCCAACTGCATATAGAAGTGGGCCCTGGCTACAGCTCCACCTATTTACACATTCAAATTTCCCAGACTGATGAGTTGAGCAGACTCATGCACTCACACCTGTATACATAAAATTCACACTTCCATTTGCCCCATGTTTCCCCTCATTTGCATAGGAAGTAATGTGGAAAAAAAAAACTGTCTCAACTGTCAAGAAGTATCTCAAATGTTTTTAAGATCTAGTTTCTCTGTACAAGCTGCAGACATTTGACTTAAACTGAATTCACCCCTTGCAGCAGTTCCTTCGGGACAAATGTCCCATCTGGACAGCTGTGAACCACCCTTTGGCACAAACACCATGCCGTTGCCACATATGCATGGCAATGCAAGCTTACACAACAGCCACACAAACACTGGCCCCTCGTCAGAAACTCTGAGCAGACAGAGCGTCTCTTTTTCTCTCTCTGGCCACTTATCGTGTCCACTCTGACCTGAAACGGAGCCATCTTCCATCCCAGCCTCGGAGACGCTACCACTTATGCAGACTGCTTATTCATCTATCGTGTTACTGCATGTAATGATGTGGCATATCATATTCAACTTGGAATTTCTGCTGTTAGTTTACAATAGTTGTGATGTTACTTCAGTATTAAGATGCACTTAAATTATTGTTTTTACAAATGAATACTCATAATCATGTAATAATCAGGTTTAGCTTTAGTCCCATTAGCCTTCTGCCAGGGTTTCAAATGACAAAAAAAAAGCCTAGACGGATTTTTGGCACACTTAAGGTCCACTGTACACTTTGATGGTAAATTGATGAGCCTGGGGGTAGGCGGGTGGGGAGACCCCTGCTACCCTATCCTCCCTGTTCAGGTTCTACACTTTGGCTTCCATACTCTTCTGTAGGTTCTGCTAAGAAGAAAGTAGCACATGAAACCCAAGCAGACTGGATCATGTTGAGACCAACTGAGTTACATGTGTAGCAAGCAGGGAAGATTCTCCTCATTCTCAGGAGTCCTGCACCTCTTCTCACAACGAAGAGAAGAAAGAAACTGTTAATCCCCTGTGTCCTGGTCTGGCAGGTTGTAACTGCTGCAGTAACCTGTACAGCTCTATTAGCAAACAAGTTAATGAAGTGGCAGTATTCTGTTTGGATCCAGTCTCCAAACTCTCATATCTGTGTTCGTCCAGTCTGCCCTCACTGTCCCTCATCGAGCTTGGAGAGAACTGCCTCATTGGCCTTCGCCGTTCTGGTTGGGCAGCACAAATGAGATCAAATGAGTCATTTATTCAGGCACAACTAGGATCAAGGCCATAATCTTTCTGACATTAACATAAATTAAGTTCTGATTATGCTATCCCATAATGTCAAGACTGACTGCACAGCCCCTCTTTGCCCAACAACATGCTGCCAGACAGATTAGACCAGTTTCCAGTCAGTCATCGACAACACAGCGACCAGGTCAGGTGCTGCTAAAGCAAATTTGCAACGCACAAACTAGAGCACAGCGACCCACAACAGTAACAAGCCATTAATCTTTGTACCTTAACTCGTGATACTGACTGCAGCAATTTCTATATGCTTAGGAAAAATAAACTGCTCCATTGATTTTCCTATAAAAAGGCAGCACTCAATTGCCCAGAACACCACCCAAGGGGGAGAGAAACGCTTTACTTTAAAGGTGAAAAACAACATGAAAACAGTAAGCAACGTGCTTGAAACTGAAGCAGGTTAAAAGGTTTGGGGTTCTTACCAACACCCACCTAGGGTTACCTTTGGACCAACTGTGCAGTGGTAAAAATTCACCACACTTGACCTTGCATGCAAATCCATGCAACTGCATTGACTGGAGTAACTGCTGCAAAAGGACAGTGCCTTACAGTAAACAAGCACATGACATGGCATAAATCTGTCACATGTCATAACCGACAGCACAGAGACATGAGCAGCTCTTCCACTGTACCCATGCAACTGTCCTGAAGGATGTGCAACAAACCCAGCCAGACTTCATTATGCCATCCAGACTTAAAAGCACTTTGCCAACATGTTTACTGCCTCCGCTGGCTAGAATATGAAAGTCTGGAGGCAGCAGAAGGCTTTGCAACCAGTAGTGTGACCCTGGCAGCCAACACACACATTCATGTGGTTCTCTTAGCTCATCTATATTCTGTTGGCTGTCTTACAGTCAGGCCATATGCTGGTGGAGAGTGACTCACAGGCATGTCTGCCCTGTATTAATTCAGGGAAGCAGAGAACTGAATGAAAACATAAATTTAATAATGTGAAAAAAATACACACGAACAACAATGAAGCTCCTCCAGCATCCCGGAGAAACAAGATGACGTCCTGCCATGTCAGAACAGGTTCCAATTAAAATAACTGATTCAGCCCAGTAGTGCTATAATCTATATAGAGAAACTGGACTCATGCACTATGATGATTCAAGACGATTATGGACTTTTATCCTCTTTGGCTTTGTGTCACAGTAATACCTCACACAAAGACAGATTTAGGGTTTCCTATTACCCATTCAATCATGTGATGTAAAGGCAAATACTAGGAAGAGAGACTCAACTGCTCACAAGCATGTACAACGGTTCAGTGTACAAAACAATCTGCCAACTGTGATGAGAACAAATAACTTTGTACAAGGACCAATATATCAACATTTACAGCAGCGAGCAATAAACACTGGCAATGACGAGCTCCACACCCTCAAAAGATGAACACATGGTAAAGTGTTCCCATAGCAATGCTGTTACATAAACACAGCAGGTAGAAAAATCATGAAACATCTAATCCAGGACAGTCAGTCATCTACTTTTAAAATGGGTAAATGGTGCTGTCATCTGTGCTAAATCGATCCGCACAGATACTGTGGCAACTTGTGACCTGGATATATAATTAGTTTGCTTTGATAAGTGGCAGCGTCTCAACAGATCTGACACCACTGTATGCTGAGAGTACACAGTTCATTATCAGCTGTTTCCCAGAGGCCCGGCTCTCAGCAGTGTGCCTATGGCAACCTGCATGCCTACCATTGTCTCCCACGCCACGACTGTGTTTAACGTGTCAGACGCTGGTACATACAGAGCTGTGCTAGAGCAGTAGGGGACAAAAGGCTATCACACCCCCACTCAGACACATGGAGAAAGCACACAATGGAAGAAACTTCTGTCCACAGTTGGCTACCTAGTGCAAAGAGGGAAGGACTGAGAGGGAAGAGCTGGCCACATGTGCAAACCTTCCAGGCCCATGGATGATGCAACCTCCCCTGAAGGCTGTGAGAAAGGGTGCTGGCCAGTTTGCTCCCATCTGTTCTGCTGCTCTGCCTTGTCAGTACCTCACTACAAAGGCCCAGTCTTTAAAGGGTCAATGGAAACAATACAAACAGGACACAGGTTTCTGTATTCCTGCCAAGCACCAATGCACGACTTGAATGTGTTTAACTTCAGAACATTTGCAGATAAACATCAATTTATTAGACAACCACCATCACAAGTGTTTGCCGTTTTGATCGGTGACAAACCACCACAGCCACACTCTCCCCTCCCAGTGCCCCAGCCTCCCCCTTTTCGTTCCTTGCCATTTTCCCGCCCTGCAAAGCAACAGGCTGAAGAACAGAAATTTCCAGCCCTCCACCAACATCATTGTGGTGAAGCCCAGAGAATTTGATGTACGACTACAGCTTTAGGAGAGGCAGTAATTCTGTAGAGACCATATCATAAAAGAAGAGTTATCTCCAAACCATCACCATGCTCCCTAATCCATCACAATATCTATGAATTGTGCTTTGTAGAAAGAAAACCTGGCAGGTCTCAGTGATTAGAAAACAACCAGTGCCCAGAGAACTACTACTGACAGATGCCTACAGCAAGAACCAACACTTTTCTTTCATATTCTCCCTTGAGTAAAGCATCCTTGAAGGCAGACAGCGGTGTCGAGCTGACCCAAACACTAACCTTACATTGAAATGAGTTTATTCCAGTGACCATCATAGCTGGGCAAAACGCATGCATGCGGTCACTTTAGGACGCTACTGCTATGTAGTGTTGAGCCGGATGATGCGGCTACAACT